CGATGATCAGATTTTCGACGTTGATTCACCCCCCCTCCCAATTGCTCTGACAACCGCACTATTTGTCTTACCAACCCGCATAGTTCATTTAGTTAATTGTCATATAAACGTAAAAAGCTGAAGATAATTTATCGAAAACAAACTTATGTTCGAATTGACCCAATTGTGAAAAACTCGAGGCGTTGGGCGGAATTTGAGCCCCCGTATTAGAGAAGGTATTTACCGCAAGCCAACGCTCTAACCGCTAAGCTACAAACGCCCCACTTTGCGCTATGAATTTAATCACACTTGAATCGATATTACTCGCCCAACTCTACTGCTCGTATGGAATCCACCGATACGGAACAGCAAGCTGACTGCCCAAGCAGGATTTTCTAAGCAATCATCTAGAATCCACAAGGATGACTACTAGGCTGACTTAATTATTAGGGGTTTGGCAGATTTTCTTAATTTGAGTTGACCCAATTGTGAAAAAACTGGAGGCGTATGTTCGTCAATTAATCTTCTGAAATATTTTATTCGTCTTGACTTGAGGCAGTCACTTAGAGCATTCGAGAGGACAACAAGGCGACGATGTGCGCGTAACGATGAAATGAGGGCGTGTTTTAAGTTTTGAGAAAAGCGGTTTATTCGCGTCATTCCTCTTTCGTTTCTTTCATCCAAATGGTCCCATTTTTGCATATCCTGCATCACAGATGACCATCTGATTGGGGATCAGAGTTTAAACGCTCGAAATCAAACTGAAATCACAAAGTGTACCATCCCATACTAACCCACAATTTACTCGCTTTTCCTTTACTGTCCTCAGAAAAACGGATCGTAATGTATACATTATACACCTTATTCACTGTGTACGTTATCTCTGTTTGTATACGTGGTCCCACTCAATCTCAAAAATACGTTTTTATGCAGATAGCATTGCCGCCAGAGACGCAGGAGATTGAAAGACTCCTTTCTGGCTCATTAGCCGTCATCAGGCAGCCATACCCGACCCCTTGTTGTACCACTCATGGCTGGAAACCGCGACCTTTGATCAGAATCTAATGCCCTAACCATCAACCTTCGAGTTCGGCAACAATTGCGGTTGGGTGTGACTGGCTGATGACGGCTAATGTGCCAGAAATGGTCCTTTCAGTTTCCCTCGTCTTTGACGGCAGTGCTATCTGCCTAGACTAATGGCCACTGTACGGCTGCTGAAGGACCTAGACAAACAACCCAAGGGCATAACAGGACAAGCGAGCCCCGTTAGCATTCGGTGAGCGCTTCTCAGCAAGTGTCAATACGTATTTATGTCAGCTTGGTTGGATTAATTTAATTTCCCACCCCTACCTTTTCGCTTATTCACCGTCGAGCCTCCTTTAGGCCTTATTGCTTGGTTCACAGTTCGGCATTAGACGTAAGGGTTAAGTATTGGTTAGTATTAGAGTTAAGGCGTATGATTAGGCTATCTGGTGGTGGTACTGTTAGGTTCACGACATCGGTTTTGGGTCATGGGTTAAGCTATCGATGTTGTCAACTTCAATTATATTTCCAGTGACGGTCGTACTGAGTGTCCAATTTAAAGAAAAATGCTTCTCACTTCACCGTTTAACTTGATTAATTGTCATGTGTCGGGATTATTTCCTGGAAATTCTAGCAAACAATTTCTGTTTTAGTTTTCCGCCCACTAACAGCTCACAATTTTCGGTTTTTCCAAGTGCGTGCGAACGTTTCCGTATTTAATTGGTGTATTTAAAAATGGTAATGGTATTACACTATTTTTTTCATACTTCGCTTCTCAAAAACAGCTACATATTAGTTGCGTTCCCCCGCCCATAAAACCCCTTGCAGTCCCCTTGTACAGGAGCTCTTGTTTGTCATTTGCTGTCATTTGTCGCTTTGTGCATGCAATTAGCATGTAGTTGATCCGTTGCACTCAAAGTTTACAGTTCAGCAGTTGGCAGCCTTCTCATGTCTTTGATTATATGCACTTCACTTACTGCTTATAAAATAACGCATGTACAGGTAGCGATCTTTCAAGGCACGAAATAGCAAGGGCCTTCTGTTCAACACTTTTTCTATTAACGGTCGGTCCCGGTTGTCGATTACGCAGCCTAAAGTCATGTACCAAAATTAAGACTCTAGTCTAGTCTTTGTCCGTCAGCTTTACAGAGAACGCTACAACAGGAATATGCTGAGATGTACTGAAACACACGCAGGCATAAATGAATGAATGTTACACGGGGTAAGCATTCTGTTGCTGTGGCCTGTCAGGGAGTACCATATAAACAATTTGACTCCGACAATCTTCAGACCTTTCCAGACACGAAATCAAGATTTGGATGAAGAAGGCTAGTGACAACAGCTAGGTTTTGGACTGGGGTTAAAAAAAGGATTATGATGGAGGATTACGACTGAATTTTATCTTTGGACTTCTGGTAGGGCTAGGACACAGCAATATCGAAAGTTAATTTCCAAGGAAATTAACAAAATAACTGAAACTTAAAAAAATATAATATTTACCAGGAAGCACACAGGGGACGCTAGGAGGCTCTCTTATGAGCTAGAACTGTCGCGACTGTCGCGACAGCGGCAGAATATCACCGAAACCTGCGTCTGGGCCTTTGGATTGCATCTGTGCTGCCAGGTTGGTAAATATTTACCCAAGTGACACGAGTATAGTTAGCCTCCTGTGAAAACATATGCAGGATCGACATTCCTGTTTAAGCGGGGTGATTCTACTGCCATGGCCTGTTTAGAGGGTCAAGTGGATGATCCTTAACGCAATATGAGGCACAGTTCTCCTCAGAGAAGGTATTATTCTTACAGTTGCTGCCTATATATCACTTTACTCGTCATATACTTAGCTGACACTTCCCTCCTTGTTTTCATCAACGGCACCAGCAACCAGCTTTCTTCCTTACTGGCACAAAACATGTCTTTAGCATCACTACTACTACTACTACCACCAAGAACATTATTATCAACACCACCGCTATGATCATTTTTATGGCAAACACCATCGACCAAACTGCAACGCTATCATACTTTATATAATCATCGACGTTATTATTGCAACTGCTAGTATTGTATTCCCGCACATTAGAATGTTATGACACGAAGCCTACCTTGATGTTTGTCGCGATAACAAAGGCCACGGGTGCTGTCGGCTGGCTGAGGATTAGGCTGTGCACTTGGTAGAACAACGCAGCCAACTTCACTGGACAGGCGTACTCAAAGGCATCTATACAGAGCACAATACGGGTCTGTTCATGTTGTAGGTAGAAATTGAAGGCATGCAGCAGTTCACAGATCTTGTGAAACTCCGTCTTTGCCAGTATGTCAACCTCGCAGGTGGCAGTAATTGGTGGCAGGAGGTCGGCTGGGTTATCCAGACCCGGTAGCTTGCCATTTGACTGCCTGCCGGTAGTCCAGCCAGCCGAGGAGGCACCGCCGGACTCCATGCTCCGTTCCAGCTGTACCAGCGGTGATGCCACGGTCGAAAGCCTCGCTGTCATGCGATTGAGATTGCGCATCAGACGAGAGCTCAACACGCCTGGTGGCTCGTAGGGGGAGGTGCCCGCGCCGCCGCCGCCAGCA